GATTTAATATTTGTTAATACATTTTTTCATACGGCAGGGGAATTCAATAGGATTTTAATTTTATAACTAAAACAAAGGGCATACGTTAACCTGTCAAGTGAAGTTATTTTACATCTTTGGTATTTATACATAAAGAATGAAAAAGGAACGTGTGAATCTAATGTACGTTTCCATAAAGTTCTCTCGAGTAGGTAGGTAAAGTGGTATAAGTTGCCGAAACAAAGTCCTCGTGTTTTCTATTGTACATACATGTCCACTTGACTGAAATTGCCGTTACTTCATTTCTAGCGCGACACGTCGGAATCTCACAATGTTTTTTTTACCGCAACCGACTACACGTTATTAAGATTTAAAGGCGATATAATATACAATTAACTTTACATTATTACCCATATATATCATATAAGGCTTCAAATTAGAACTGCCCGACTACTCGAGTGCCGTCATTTTTAGAAAACTGAAAAATGGTGTCGATAGGTTGGGTCATACGTCTGGTTGATCACTAATAGGCGAACTATGTACTTGTTTGCAAAATTAATCGTATAAACAATCTACTAACTACACAACAACACTTAAGTCGTGTAATCATTTTTCTATAAAGAATACGATATTTCATATGCGTTGAACTATATTTTTTACGCCTCCATAAGCTCTCACAACGTTCAGGTAATCAAGCGTGAGTATTTACCTACTTTAGTCATAATAGTGTTAACACTTTTTTTTCAACTAAACAAAGTAAAATGAACATATGACATAAACAGCACTAAGGGATTTTTCTATAATAATTCTAAGTTTAAAGGATGCAGTTGATGATGACACAGTTACCTCTTAGTTACTTATTACCCTACTCAACATATTTTGCAAAATTATGTGTTGCAATGATTAAACGAATCTTTTTCAGCTAAAATAGCTAGTGAAGTGATGAAATTTACTTGACATCGGCTCTTGCTTTATAGGTAAGGTTAATACAGCTGACCAAAATCCGAACCATTGTAGCCAAAACAGATCCTTTTCTCCTTTGTAGACTAAGCTGATAGTGAATGATAATGTTATATGAACTAACCTCCAACTGCGATACCTAAAAATTTCTTGTAATTCGTATGACTGGACATCTTGGCAATATAAGGCTTTGATAAATCCTGAAAAGTAACTCGTACTTCTCGCATTTTTCTTCTAAATATGCGCAAACGGCGGCGACGATTGTCCACATAGAACTCTGTTTCAATACATAGAGCGGACTCAGCAAGGTCGGGCAGCATGCGCCAGTCAGCGTCAGGGTCATTATTTGGCCAACTTTGTAATTCTTCTAGTTCGTCCAGTTCGTCAACAGCCACGTCGAAACTGGGCGTAGAATCGTCGTCTGGCGGCACGAAGTATGGATCCTCCATGTACTCCAAGCTCGCCGGCTCCAGGCCGCCGCTCGACAGTCCATCGCTTGCCATACTATCTGCCTCGTCTTCCGCGACAATTAAGCATATTTCATAGGTAAACAACCATATAATCCGAACCTGATGTCTTTTTAACACGTGGTAGAGGCTTGTACATTGGCAATAAAGTTAAATCACTTATTAGTAATTAAAACACTACATTATAGATGACTAAAAGTTACTATCACTTTACAAACATTGTGTTTTCCACAATAAACACCATTGACACAAGAAACATTAATGCGTGCTCCACCGGCGCGCAATGATGTCAGTTTCTTCCGCCACGTCGAGCCCCACCAGCGAGTATGCCAGCGTTCGTTTCGCGCCGTTGCTCGATTGCTCGTGTTCGCCACTTTCACCGATAACGCTCTGATGCTGGTATTTTTTTAATTAAAATGCTGACCTCCAAAATATTCGCGGTTAAATCCTAACAGCTTTTAAAAAGATAAAAACTTAGAATCAGAGCATACTGAGTCAAATATCGATGTAGGTATTTAGAAATCAAGGTCTTTGACCACGCAACAAGTTTTAAACACCGAACAAAACAAAACTATAGACTGAGCTCACCTTGCATCGCTACTAAGGTTTATTGACAGTGCCGCAGGCAAACGGCGGCGCGGCGGCGCAAACGCTCGGACCACAAAGTGTTGCGTCATTTCTTTCTTTTAAAAATATGGTAAAAAAACTAAGTATTGCATTGCGAGTGACTCATGCCTCAGTAGTTTGTGCAGCTAAATTCGTTTCAGATAAAGATCTTAGGTTTTTAAGACTTGAAATTTCAGGCTTTTAAAACTGGTTGAAAATATTTTCACCGAAAAAACATGGACAACAATTACATATTCTTTAATTTAGCTAATATGTTTATTATATAAATACTTAACTATGAATTTATTATTTTTATACGTTTAAACTATAGGGACAGTATCTGTTTCAATAAACTGTTCCATAAATATGTGTTTTCTATTGTAATAAAGAAGATAATTAAAGACATGGTTTAATTTATGAATACCTTATCTCACAATTTCATGTGTGTACACGATCTTTATAATATGTCTATACAGTGACGGAAGAGCTGGTTTGTTTTGTTTAATGTACTACTCGTATATCTAAACTAAAAGTCGAAGCTTCACACAACAGTTTTCGAAGCTTATATCGTTGGGAGCACAGCAATTGTTGACACAATTTGTTGATACATATCAATAATTGTAACGATATAAAATAAATTAAAAACAAGTTAGGTATTTTTCTGTATTATGTTATTAAACGAATTTCACGACATGCAGTGGCCACATGGAATGTGTCGTCAGTCGTAAGAGCGCCACCCATAGACCCTGCAAGTTGGCAAAAAGTTTCGTGAAAAGTGCAGTGGTGGAGCGCCAAGTATACAAGTCATGGTGATGGAAAGTACTGTTAAATGATGACGGAGAGCTGCGGCCAGTAAAGTACCAACTATGCACTCGTCATGATTTACGCTCAATTCAAATCGCTCTGCTTTGAATGTGGTATGCAGAAGAAACAACATTGGACAGACTCGGCATCGGAGCATGCAAAAGAAATTGAATAACTTTATTTTGGGCAGTTTGTACATTATTAGACACATACCTTTACACATACATATAGATCTTGTTAAGATATACAATTTCATTTTACATTATTTTAATCTATCTTGTAAGGTTAAAAGAGTGTTTGCAATGTGAATGCACAAAAACATGTTTCTTGCAACACAAACCTTCCTCTTGAATCATTGAATCACTCTCTCTACTGATGAAAACCGTATTAAAATCCGTTGCGTTGTTTGAATGATGTAGAAGCAACTTGGGAAGTGACTTTATTTTATACTATGTAACTATGTAAAGATAATAATTACTTAAGATAAAAAAGTAAAAACTAAGGGTAACAACTTGCTGTAATTAAACTACAAGTAGCTAAACCCACATAAAATACCACAGCAAAATTTAGACATGGGCGGTAAGTTAACAAATAGTGTAGTTGTTTTGAAAGCATTTCAGGGCAACATAGTGACTTTTGATCGCATTTATAATGTAATATTGGGATGTTTAACCTAAGCCAAAGTAGTAAAGGAAAGTGTGTAGCAGTATACAGAAAAAACATCATCGATGAGCTGGTAAGGAGAGGTTTACAAAATGAATGGCCAGTCCAACAGCACAGTTTTCACTTCCCTTTTGGACAAGATAGCCATGAAGAACAAACCTATCATTAAACAAATGCACAGATTAAACATGTGCTTACAGAAGAGTCACAGGTTAGTAACAACTGACTTGACATCATTTGGCATAAATCAGCATCTATACACCATCAATGTGACAGACAGCCATCTATATAATGTTTCAAAATTGAGGAAACAACCACTTACATTGTCCTTTGGTGCAAAGGAGTAATCCAAACATGGCAAACATTAGCTCAAATATTAGCCTATCACGTTAAAGAAAGTGATAGTTCAGCTGACACCGGTAATGAGGTATTCATTACCATTAGTCATTTCAACATATAAAGAATGTAACATAAATCAGCTGACTTATGTTACACTTTTAACAAGTGTAAAGATCTATAGCATATAGCAAATACATTTTTTTAAATTATGGTTGATTTTTAACATTTTTGATATTATTACCTAGTCTCTACAAATACTGCTACCTAAAATGTTAAGTGTCAAGTACTAATCTACAACATTGATGAGTGAGTATTGCACAACATGAATCATTCAGTCTAGTGTGAATCATAATAACATAATAAAATAAATGTAAGTAAATGTGTCATAGTTAAATAATACATATTATTTTTTGAAAAGAAATGTTTTTGGTTTAGATAAGATGAAAGCTGGTGGTGGGCCATATCCACTACCAGCCTAATATACCCAAACAGATGGGGTAGATATATTCCAATAATTTATCCAAGCTGTAATTTTTTACTATTTATTAACTGCTTGTAGCAAGTTATTCTACATAATCAATTTTGATTTAAAAAATTAAATCTTAACCACTCATCACATACACAATGGCTTAAACACTGATCACAAGAAAAAGAATGTAGTATTAAGTATGAAAGAGCTCAGTTTTTTTGTTATGAATTCTGTTATAAAAAAAAAAATGAGTGAGTGTGATAAATATGCCGGTGTAATTTTTTTCTACTGAAAAACTTGTTATACAGTGTTAAACAACATTCTTTTGTTAAATAATAATAACATAATCTTGAAATATAAATATTATGATCATTTAAACATCATCTGAGTTATTAGAAACATAGGTAAGTAATCAATATGTTATTTTGATTTGTATGAAAATTGAGTTGAAACTGATTTGCATAAAATTATGGCCAGAATTCATCAATATGTGTTTAGAAAAGCAGAGTATAAACAAATTAAAAGGGTACACAAATAAGTAGTTTAATCAAGTTAATCTTAAAGGAATAGTAATTGGAAATAGCAAATACGAATGTATGAGTTAAATTCATATAACTTGGAATTTCCAGTGCTAGAAACACCGCTGAACAGAATATGTACCGACTCGTATTTGCAATTAAACAATAACAACTAGTAAAATAAGTATTACATACCTGTTTGAACACCACTCATATTGGTTAAAGAAAGCCGCAACAAAGAGCTCTACAAAATATATAGTAATTACAGTACTCTCTTACAGATAAAGGTAATAAGCTTAATTACTGTTGTATTGAATTTACACAAGAATTAATTGAATTAACGAGAACTTCGTAAAAAAACTTCTATCACAAAGTTGAGAAATATCGAATACCGATTCACGTCTATTTAGACTAAACACGTCACGTACTCATCTGTTCATAATCGTTTAAAGAATATTCGATTACTTGAATCGACTTTAAACTACATATTATCGACTAACCATGTAAATTGATTCTCTCATAATGTTTCACAAGGAAAAACCAATCAATTTGCAACCATCTAATACACTCGCTTAACTTTTTAATCTATGTAAGCTAAGCCTCTTTTTTTAAATAATCTAGATTCGCCATACTTTGTGTAATTTTACACATTTTGTTTGATCTTGTTAAAGTGCAAAACTGTCATAAAAGGTAATATCGTTGTAAAGTATTAATCATCCAACGTTAACTGTAACGTGATTATATCGTATTGTGGTCAAGGATTAAATCGGTAATCTGCTGGTCTTAGTAATCCTTTTTTTGTAATACGAAAATACCTTTTATCACAGTTATGAGATCAAAAGTTGATCGGAACTGAATTGAGACTGAACTCGCCATTCGTGACTTACTTATGCGTTGATGTAAATCACTTTTGGAATTATGCCTATGGTCATCAATTTTTTGAGTTGAATGTACTACGTACTTAAAGGCTCCACTACACATTGGCCAGTGTTGGGCCCTGCTTCGCAATACGCAATAGGGAATATGCATGTCTTTTTTTGTTTCTTTTTTTGTTTCTTTTTTTTACCTTTTTACTAGTTATTAAATTACCGAAAAGAAATATAACACACCCGAAATATAAACCATTGAGCTAAAAAAATTTAGAAAAATAACTATAATTTTCGGGCGATTTAAACGCGGCTATTTTTGCGCTTATTGAAATGAGAGTTAAAAAGTGAGTAAAAAAATCAATTTATTAGTTACTTAAAAGTTTATTATAAATATTGTGTCTTTCCTACGTGCCAAAATAACATCAAACTGAACCTGACAAAGTATATTTCCTTATACCTAAAGATACAGGTATAAAGAAAAAGTAGTGCAAGGCGATGAGAAGAGACAAAGTATCGTGTTTTAGCTGTTTATACTGTTGTGAAGATAATAATAACAATTATTTATATTAGAATAACCATGTCTCATTGCTTGTCGCTGCTTGCTTGCTGAAAACTAGACTTGCAACGAATATTCGGTTACTATTTGGTATTCGGCCTATTCGGCTGCTTTTATTATATTCGGCCGAATACCGAATATCTACATATTATTCGGCCGAATACCGAATACTTAAATAATATATTTTGTCATTGAGAAATAATTGGTAAAATGAAAAATTAAAATCGATTGATTACGTACATATTCATATTTTCATTTCTGTTATAATCATTTAAGTAGTCATTGGTGCATAACACAGGTACATAATCATCTTCTGAATTGGAAAAATGGAGGATTCTATGTATTTGAATTATTGTGGTAATCAAAATTTAGAAGGGTAAGGTTCTCATTTCTTTTATAATCATTTATTAAGTAGTCATTGGTACATAAAACAGGTACATAATTTAATTCACGTCTGTACAAGTTTTTGGCGCTAAAATCCAGCCGAATACTTTTGCCTAATATTCGGCTATTCGGTCAGGGGCCTCGCCGAATATTCGGTATTCGGTATACTGCCGAATATACTATTCATTGCAAGTCTACTGAAAACCAAATTGATTTTCGTGGAAAACACCTTAGAAGTAACCATGCCTAATGATATAGGCCTATAGTTGGAAACATCGGTGAGATCACCAGTTTTGCTTTTAACTATGGGCACTATTACGGTGTGCAGCATATCCCCAGGTCATAGCTGTATGTCATACATACCCTTGGCAAATGGGGTCCCCCATACCGGAGATGCTCTATACTGAGACCATCATCAAAATTTTTTTTACAAAAAAACTTTTTTTGTGATTAAATTTCACTATTAAATTATGATAAATTTCAAAAATAATTTTATAGGTATCTTTTTTTTACAATAAAGTTTACAAATAAAATACTTCGTTCATTTTGGAGTCACGTGCATATTACCTATTGTAGGTCATCATTGCGTAGGTGTTCACACATTGGTGTGATACATATCTCATGTTGTCTGGCGAAACATTTGCGATGACCGAAGTAATTACGGTCTCAGCTATTTGCTTTTTTATTTTTATTTAATTAATGAAATTTTAATACGGAGATGTTACTTAATTCTAAACTTGCCCAATTTTACATTCGATGACGAGAAGTGCTCTTAACAATGCTTTACACATCCAATTATGCACACCTAATTTTAGATACAGCAGTAATACACAATTTTATAATTCTAGCTTTGCCCCGCGGTTGCTAGTGTACCTTGTCACCACGGGAACGCTATATTTTTTCGAGATAAAATGTAGCCTATGCCACACTATAATCTATCTCTCTCATTTTTTTTTGCTAATTATTTGCAATTTTTACCAATTTTTTGCCATAGCCATTTCCGAGAAACAATGGTCCTGCTGACTTCAGACTTAAGTGAGCGTAGCCATCGCTATGTCTCCGGATCTTATCAAAAGAGGCTTAGTGCCATATTTTTTGCTAATTATGAGCTATTTTTTTTTACCAAAGATGTTTTTTTGCCATAGCCATTGCCAAGAAGAAATGTTCCTGATGACAAACAATTCAAGCCAGGGTAAGCAGCGCCTCGAAAGGTGGGATCCGAGGGGATTTCCGCACGGAAAAAAAGGGTAAGCAGCGCCATGTCTTTAGATATTTTATACACAATAAGATAGCCTTTACAGTATTTTCTTTTTGTTATTTATTTGGTGTGCCTTTGTTAACGAATTATTTTACATTATCTTACAAAAAAAACTATTCTTTAGCAAAAAATATGATGTAAGTTTTATTACAGCCCTATGACTTGGCTACGCTAGGTTCATAGACACAATCTTTTACTCATTTGCAAACTCCAAGGTGCAGCATTAGCATCTTCGTGACCCATCAGATCTAAGTAAAATTTGGCGGAAGTTTGGATTGGCACCATACAAATGTCGACCAGATTTTGTTATTTAGATTACGAATAACATTTAAATATTTTAGTTCCTATTTAATGTTGCTCACCATGTATGTCGTTTAACGTGGTGGTTGCAAACGGCTTGGTTGTAAATCGTAAATGCGCTGGCAACATTAAACAAAAAGCTTACTCACTTTGTCGTCATCGTCTCGTTATCGCCTCCGCTCCGGCCATCGTTAATATACGTAATACGTTTATTATTTTATTTATTTCGATTATCGACATCGGCATCGCTATTGGGTTTTAAAGACTAAAGAAGGTCTTTAATTATATATATAGATATTTTCTTCAGAATCACAGAAGAAATTGCTAAATATATTTGTAAGTGTTCTGATGTTCATTTCATTTTTTTGTCTATCAAATCCTATTCAAATGGTTTAATTCTAGTATATTTTCAGCATCATCATGTCAGCCACGGCATTATTCGGCAATACCTCTGGTTTGGGCGGTAGTTCTGGAGGTAATAAACATTTGGTGGAATTTCGTGCCGGTAGAATGACTCTGAAAGGGAGGATGGTTCACCCAGATAAAAGGAAGGGTCTCCTTTATGTTTACCAAGGAGAAGATTCTCTAATGCATTTTTGCTGGAAAGATCGTACTACAGGTGAAGTCGAAGACGATTTGTTAATATTTCCTGATGATTGTGAATTTGTTCGTGTCAACGAATGCACCACTGGCCGTGTCTATGTCTTGAAGTTTAAGTCATTTTCTAAGAAATATTTCTTCTGGCTGCAGGTACGTAGCATTCAACCTAAATTCAGATGTTTTAGAAATATTGTATCTGTGATTTATTTATTTGTTAGGATCTCCTACGAAATATATACACAAGCAAAAAAAACAAAAATGGACTGAATGGAAATAAAGTCGATGTACTCCTTCACTTACAGGAGACCACAGCAAGCACATTGAAAAAAAAATAATAACATCACCCAAGCAAACAGAGTTACAAGCAATATAGAAAATTTTGTATTAAAAGTAACAAAAAATAGACTTAATAAGTTACATATAATTGTTAAAATATAAGAAATACACACAATTAAAATATAAAATAAAAATATTAATGTTGACGCTAACATAACAATGTTATAAACAATTAATATTAACCTATAGAAAACAGTTTTTTATCATTTCATTTTTTTTTATTTTTTTTATGATATGTGATTTTATTCCATGTTGTCAATAGTAAATTTGTATCTTAGGAACCAAAAACTGATAAGGATGATGATTACTGTCGTCGCATCAACGAAGCCTTGAATAATCCTCCAACATCTGGAGGCCGTGGAGGTGGCAGTGGTGGTGGACAGGATGGAGAGCTTCAGAATATTTTGAACAATATGTCTCAGCAACAACTGATGCAACTACTTGGAGGAGTAGGGCAGATTGGAGGATTGTCTTCTCTTCTTGGCACTATGGGGTAATTTGATATCTTCTCATTTTTAATTTTCTTTGTTTCATTCATTTTAAAAGTACTAATAATGTTAAACACTGTGTTTGAGTCATCTATTTTATGGAAATCAGGGCCAGTGCTTAAACCATAGCAGACATGTAACTTAAATGTACTAAAGTTTGAAACAAAGGTGTGCTAAAAAGGGTGTAAGTGTCTATTTCATGTAATTGTATCAATATGTGCAACTGTATCTCAACTGTGCTATTATAGTCTATGCTGGAGGATCTAAAATTGAATTAAAATGTTCTGCGAATAATATTAAGATATCTCATTACTAAAGATATTTTGTATTTTCTCATCATTTATCAAATTCATTGATGAACTTTGCAAAACACATGGAAGACAATAAGTTTAAAATTATTTATCAATGTAGACCCCAAGATATTTTATAGTATTATATATACTTATTGTCTTCCATGTGTTACACGAATTTACGTAATTGTACTCGTTTAAAGGTATTAGATTCAATCTCATGCGGAGACCAATTGACTGCGTTGTACTCTAGTTGACTACGCACTAAAGCATAATATATGTGGGAGTGGTGGTGCTAAATGCAGGTTTAGCATCAATCAGTAAATGTGTACTAGGAAATACATTTAGTAAAATCATCTTAAAAATTACTTTAATTTACCTTAAAGCAGAGTTTATAAAAATACAACTAATATTTGGTTATCTTTAACTTCAACAACTATGATATCTGCTTTTTATAGATTCCTTGCTGATTCACTCATCAAAGGTTAAATATTTATTTATACTTCCTGCAAATACATTGCATAATGTGTTTCAGCAACAACTCTAGTGGCAGCAGCGGTAATAGTAGCAGCCGCCCATCAGCTGGTAGCGGCAGCAGTTCTCGTGGTGGTAGTGCGCCTCGCAGTACCGAGTCGCCCGCCGTCGCTCGCACGCCCGCACGCGCTCGCGACGTGCCAGCACCCACGGCAACGCCGCCAAACACCGCGACCGCTGCCCAGCCACGTAGTAAGTAAATCAATCTTCAGATCACACGTACATATGTTTGTAAATGTTTTTACTTTTGTCCGTTTACAGCATTTATGCATTATGTAGGACCTGTAATTGGCTAGATGTTGTGCATTTTAATGTCATGTATTTACTACTGGTACCGGTTCTTTCCACTTGAACTCCCCGCGTAGACCTCCTAGGAGGTCACTGAACACTCACTATTACATTTCGACCGCCTCAATATAATCTTTCTAATCTTCTTATAAAAAAGATCGCCTCAGAGCGATAAAGCCGCTAATTTGTATTGTTCTTCTTGAATATAAATTTAATAATTATTCTCGAATCCCTGGGAAGTTCAAGTGTCCATGGACCCCCTAGGAGGACTATGAGATAGGTTCCAGTAGAAAAAAAAGCTGTTACCACTGTCGTTCTTCCAATAAATAAATATTGCAATGCCTCACAACTAAAATTTCTCTCCACAATAATGTGGTATCCCTGCAGTTTTTCATGATAAGTGGAATCGTATGTCCTATTCTACTTCTATTACTAGATTACAGTTTTTTCCTTCGAAGCGGTTTCTCGTTACATTCCTAAATATTATGACAGGTGGGCAGATTCAACTGGCTGACCTGCAGCACTACTTCTCGGGGCTGGGCACCGCTCCGGAGGGCGAGGGCGGCGCGGCGAGCGCGGGCGGCGCGGGCGCGCGTGTGGACCTGGCGGCGGCGTTGGCGGCGCCCGAGGTGGTGACGACGGCCAGCGCGCCCCCCAACGCCGCGCGCCTGGCGCCGCACCTGCCGCCGGCGCCCGCGGGCGCCACGCCGGACGATGTAAGGACCACCCTGCTCTCACCGCAGTTCGCTCAGGTGAACCTTCAAGTATAGCGCACCCGTTACTGGCTGCGTGGCCTCCTTCGGATCTCATTCGGGGATCGCATGTATTATTTGTTGCCACCGGTGCATGGGACACTCGATTTAGGTCAAAGAAATATATTTATCACCTCATTTAGAAATGAAATGAAATGATATTTATTTCTGTAAGTAAATTTTTCAGGTACGTTTACATGTCGAACTTTACAGCTGAAAGACGCCTGGCATTTCATTAGAAAAAAATGGATCGACTGAGCTTATTGAGATTAGATTTATTTTTAAAATATTTTTCAAATGTGGAGTTAGTAGTTCCTATGGCAGGAAAAAAGACGAAATTTATTTTTTATTCAAGATTAAATATTGTCTAAGGGCCGGTTTTTCAGTCCTCGGTTAAACTGCACGGATGGCGGAGTGGTTTAAGCGGTCGCCACACTTGATACGTAAATTCTTTTTGAGCGAAACAAAACACGTCTAACGCGTTCCGATCACTGCGCACTGTGTCACTCGCATACTGTCGTGTGACTTATATTTATCCATATTGTGTAGAAGCGCACGATGAACCAAGATTAAATAGTACTCAGATACAAGCTTATTAAGAGTACTAACCGTTTAAAAAAAAGTCAATGTGGTTCATGGAACGCTTCATTAAAAAATATAATTATAAGAAAAAATACGACAAAAACGCATAAAAAAGGCGAAACACTCTTTTTGAGAAAGAATTTCTATGACTTACTATATTATTTATTACGTAAATTACAGAAAATAAAAAAGTATATATCTTCAACTATACAATGGTGTTTAAAACTATTCTGAAATCGGTAATTTTTTTTCGAGTGTGTGATGGGCGAAAAATGGTTCTTATCAACCCACCTCCTTTAAATCCTCAATAAGGAAGGATTGAATAGCTGGCCCTAAATCTAAAGAAATAACGTATTCCATACATATCTTATATTTAACATTATAAATCCCTATAATTTGTAAATTAATAACAACACTTTTAAATGGTTAAAAAAATATTGTGTGTGTCTGCTAATAAAGTATTTATTAGCAGACACACACAATATTATTTTTAAATAAATCGTTTTATTTCAGGCTACTAATCTGTTTTCTTCGGCTTTAACTTCGGGACAAATGGGACCAGTTATGTCGCAGTTCGGGCTTCCGTCAGAAGCGGTTTCGTCAGCTAATACAGGAGACATGCAGGCCTTTTTCAATGCTCTTGAGAAGTCATCAAATTCATCAGACGCAAACAAGTCCAAAGAAAGCGATGATAAGAAAAAAGAAGACAAACCCAAAGATGATAAAAATGAGAAAAAAGACGACGATGCCGAAATGTCACTTGATTAATCTCAGTTTAAATATGCACATGCAAGTCCAATTACTTCATAATTTGAAAGTTGTAACTTGCGAGGTTTTGTTTTACTTAGAGATTGTAACCATTTTTCAAATATATAAAGTTTGATTTACAAGTTTATTTTATTAACTTACAAGCGATCCGCCCCGGCGTCTCATGGATGCTATGTATAATAGATACTACTGATGTGGTGTCAGTGTGGAGTTATTAATTGTACTATTAATTTAGTAAGACAAAATTTAATAGGCCTGCTCCGCTCCTGCTGGCTGCTACCATCCGGGATAGACGTACGACCCGACGACGGCTGCTTTGCCCAGACATTTTAAATCTCTGCTATCTTCTGAGATATTCATTTTCTTGATATGCTATAAAGGGCAATTTTCATCTATATTAATTACACAACGTATCTAACGTACTTAATTGTATAAGTAATTATACTGTATTGTTCAAAAAAGCTTCATAAACAACCCATTTTTTTTTGTAATGTGTTAAAGACGAAAATGGTAGTTCATAGTTCATTATTTGGATCTATTTGGATTTCCTCTACTATAAAATGCTTGTAATAAACATTTAAACCCGTCTCTTGAATCACTCTATTGGTGAGAACCGCATTAAAATCCGTTGCGTAGTTTGTAAGATCTAAGCGTACAAGAACAAAAAGCGACTTCTTTTTATACCATGTAAAGATTGTGCGTAACGCTCATCCGAATCTGGGAATATTAAAATGACATAAAAAAATGTTACGAAAACCGCAATATTATTGTACATGAAAGCTGACGACATCGAAGATCCACACAAAACGAATTTTAAAGTTGTATTTTTAAAACTGTTTTTAGCTATATTTTTTGCACTGCATTCATTTATTCATTGTTGTCAGTGTATTAATCGCTATGTATGTAATATTCCATATAGACATGGGGCAAAATCAAAGTGGACTGTGATTTATCATTCGATTTTCGTATGGCAACCGGGACCGTCGGCTTAGCGTGCTCTCCGAGGCACGGAGGAGTCTCAATGTGTTAAGAATGGTCACCTATTCAAAGACTGACCTGGCTAGGATTGCTTAACTTTTCAGTATATATGAGCCCCTCATTGTTCAAAATGACAGTGATAAAAAAATATTGTTTTATTTGAATATATGATTTTCAATTTAGATATTTGTTGTGTGTACATGGGTACAAAATACAAACACATAAGTGACCAACTGAGACATTGCTTTAATTGCAAATGAACCTTGAATGATGCTCTTTAGCCGTACGAAATAGAGCGCATTTCGTAGCATACGGCCACTTTTATTGTAACATTAAATTACTAGTATTCAGTACCTCCTGACCTCTAATAAATATGTTATAATCATAACCTGAAGTTTAACTAACTATTGTCTCGTGTTAAACGACTCGATTGAACCTCTTAGTAAAGAACTCGAGTCGTTTTATTGATTCGAGTCTTTTTTAATGACGAGTTCTTCATATTAGTAACAAGCCTCAAGTCGTAATTTTAGAGTCGAGGCTTGTCTTAATTATAAAGGTTTAATGCCTCGAGTCCTTTCATCACTAATTCAAGTAGCGTGCTACCCGGCTTAACGTTACACGTTTCCCTACAAGAAAACACTCAATTACAAATTGCAAGAAATTGAGTTGAGGTTTTTGAAATTTAATTTGATTAATTATATTTTGATTTGATAAGGAACCTTTTTGAGATCTATATAAGATCGTAATTAAATAAATAGAAACTTAAAAATCAAATTAGTTTGTGTAACAACTTTGAGTACCCAATTATGTATCGAGACTATTAACCTCAAAATATCTGTTTGCACAATAAAAACGTGGGCGACAGGTGAGGCGAGTTAAGGTATATTCTCCAGCTGGATGAGGGGAGTGGCCGGTTTGTACGAGGTACAACTAAGTATTTTCGTTAGCACAGTTGATAAAGTGGTCATATTGTCAAATCAGTGCCGGATTAAGCCAGCGCAGGGCCTGTAGCAAATTCTATCAAGGGATTAATTTAATTTGGGCAAATTTATATTTTATAATTAATATTACTGTTCATATCGTAAATCAAACTTACTTATATAAATAAATAATTTTCAGCATTTATTAAAGTGATTTGATTAGAGCGTTTTTGGATCATCGTGTTCCTCACTTCAGTTTTAAAATGTTTTAATGTTAAGAAAGATCGTTTACAACTGATCACGAGAGATAAATAACTGCTGATGGTAAAGAAATATTTAGCAAAAGTTTGTAATCTTGCAGTTCCAGAGCCTCATGATTCTTGTTGTCAATAATACTAGGCACATCAGAATTGAGCAATGCCGATGCACTGCACTTCGATGGAAGAGATTTTAGTTCACGGAATATTTCCAAAATGCCTGTATTTTATGATATATTTGCATACGTTTGCAGCGAGTACGAGTTAGCCGGGCGCGTTGGCCGGAACACCCCCGTGGGATTTGAAGGCGGAAGTGCTCGACGAAGTTTATCGGCAGACTGCTGAGTTACGGGCGGGTAGTTGCAGTTGGTGCTTGCCCGAAGAAGTACGCGAGTGGCGTGAACCCTGCCACGATGGCTCGTTGGTCGTTTTGGCTGGAATATCCACGTGCAGCCTTTGACGCCGTAGAGGCGCTCCAGCCGGTCATCGTCGAATGGGCAGGGCGGCAGCACTGGACGCTTTCCTTCCAACTGACGCAGGTCCTTTCCGGGCACTGTTGATCCTGCACTTTGTCACTAGGAGGGACATGAGTCCCGCCTTTCATCACGGCGATTGCAGTGAGGATTCGGCTCGACACACGCTGGCTTTTTGCCCGACTTTGGCGTGCAGCGTTGGGTCGCAGTCTTTTAGGAATGTACTAAAAGTTTATATTTTAATTTGACATTTATATGCAAATTCTTTCGTGATAAGAATTGTGACTATATTGATTTTAAAAAAATCACACTTCGATCGAAATAAGTAAATACTTTTTTACGGTCAGAAAGCGTTGGTGCGCAGGGCCCCTAAATGCGCGGAAATGCATAAATAAATTTGCTGGCCAGTTGATCTAATTTGTGATTCGGATTGCTAAGCCAGCCAGAGATCGTGGATTCGATGCCAAACAACAAATAATAAAATTATGTGATGAGCACGATTATTTCTTATGTATTTGAGGGGTCTGAGTAAAATTAATAATATGTATGTATTTAAGTAATTAATAATTTTTATTTAGGATCAGCAAGCTGAAGTGGCAGTGGGCTGGCCATATTAGCCGCAGAACCGACAACCGTTGGGGAAAACGAGTTCTTGAGTGGAGACCGCGTCTCGGCAAACGTAGTGTAGGACGCCCACAGGCCAGGTGGAGTGACGATTTGCGCAACATGGCTAGCAGGAGCTGGATGCGAGAAGCCCAAAATCGATCTAAGTGGCGTGCAATGGCAGAGGCCTATGTCCAGCAGTGGACTGCGATAGGCTGATGATGATGATGTATTTAAAAATAAATAAGGATCTCTTGATGCAGTCAGGTGTTGCCTGATTCTAGATCAGACGGCCGTGTACAAGAAATGTGAAATTATTATTGTACATAGATAAGATGTTAAATATAGATTTACGATACGCATTACCTACACCTACATATTTTAATACGAAAAAATATATATTTGTAAGTACGCAAATTAAAATAAATTGAGAATTTATTTACATGTGTAGGTATAGTAGTAGTAGTAAGTATAGATATGTACAGTAATTAAAATAAATTTTATACAAAATAGGTACGTGTTTATATGAAGGTAAGCACATGTATAAAAGTAATTGTCCACAAACGGCATGCGTTTGTGACGTAAATGCTATTCTTTTCTTTCAAGTTTTTTTAGAATGCCCAGTCATGCTCTTTTAGCACTATACGTAGTATCGTTAGTATCGTTAACATTGGGTACTGTTTCACCTACTTTTATTATTTATAATGAATAGTAAACTATCCAACTGACTCATCACTATCAACACAGTACGTTATATATATTATAATTGTTTGCACAATGGTCACGTCATAATAGTTCATCCATCAATGATGAACACAGCTTGGGACTAGTTACTATTGTAAACAGCGTCATCTGTTTGCTGTACTGAACGACTTACCTGTTTTCATAGATGGCGTCCTAAAATATGTAATGAAATTGTGTAGCTCATTAAACTCGTAGATAATTTAAACGCTTATATATCTTAACTATCCTTGAAAAGGAACATTCGTTTTATAAAATATAAAACTACACGATAACGTACCGTTTATACTTCATAAAAATTGCCATTGTATTGGCAATAGTTAAAGTTGTAGATCAAAAAACTACATTACAGGACAATGTAGAAATGGAACAAGAAAACATAATATTACGTTGAACCAAGGTCGACCCCTGACATGGCTACTACAACACATTAATAAATTATTATTTAAATTGTTTCACTTCTATCACAACACAAAATAACGGAATCCATTTGCTAGGATTCAGGATTTTTTCATATTTTCTATTCTTGTTTTTCTGAATAGTGTCAGAGGACGACTTAATTCTGAGTATTCTGACTGACCAAATGGGCATCGATTATGCTAGTCATTCTATGCCTCCTCGATGTTGCGGTAGATATGTAGATAATGTAGTAGAGTTGTACCACGACTTCAATTACTACAAATAATGAATTTTCATCTTTATTGCTGAGTGTTAAGAGTCATAATCTTTTGCAACAGTATTGTATAACTATACAAACATCTGTCCGGTTAGCTTGATATTTTGTATGTAATACCTACTTTCAATTTGGTAGTAATATTCATTCTCGGTCGGAGTCCAAACGCTGTGCGCGCGTTTTAGTGTAAAAGTATTTTTGTTTAAAGACGTAATTTTTTTTTAATTTGTATTAAATATCAAAAGTGTAAGTGATGGTATAGACATAGTGTAGTGTTTCAACTAAATAAACAAATATTATGAATTGGTGTAATGGGACGAGTACTGGTTTTGCAAGATGTATGAGTAACCAATGA